GGGTCACGTTGGGTCCTGGTTGGGTTGTGGTTGAATTTGGGGTCACGTTGGGTCCTGGTTGGGCTGTTGTTGAGTCGTGGTTGGGTCCTGGTTGCTGCGTGTGTGTCGGTGCCCGCTGGGCACCCATTGCCTTGCGGTTTTCTCTGAGCTGCACTGACTCCCGCTCCCCCTCTCCCCCTCCCCACAGACTCCCCTTCCCCACCGACCCCTTCTACTCCCGCCGCGCCCCCCCCACCCCCTTCCGCCCCTCCGATCCCTTCCTGCCTTACAGCCGCTACCAGCGCCACGCCTCCGCCGACGCCCGCCTGCCTTCCTCCTCCTCCTCATCCTCCTCATCCTCCTCTTCCTCCTCCTCCTCCTCCTCCTCCTCCTCCTCCTCCCACCGCCGCCCCGACGATTCCTCCCCCTCCCGCCTCCGCCCCCCCCGCGACGACGACGCCCCCCCTCCTCCACCTTCCTCCTCCTCCTCCTCCTCCCTCCCCACCCCCCCGGGCTCTTACCCCCAACCCCCCACCGACCCTTTTTACGCCGCCCCTCCGCCCTCCGACCCCGATTTCCGCCTCCTGCCGGCCGCCGAAACCTTCGCCGCCAACGCTCTGCCTCCCACCGAACTGCTGGCGCCGGCGGAACCCGGCGCCGAACCGCCCGCCGAACCGCCCGTCGTCACCGAACCGCCACCGCCGCCACCGCCGCCGCCACCACCGCCACCGAGGGGGGGTTCGCCCGCTCCCGAAAACACCCCCGAAAGCGTCCCCTTCGCCCAGCACAGCAGCCTGGACTCCCGCATCGAGGCGCTGCTCAAAGAACAGCGCTCCAAATTCTCCTTCCTCGCCGCTGAGGAAGAGGAGGATGGCGGTTCTGCCGGGAGCGCCGCCACCACCGCCGCCGTCGCCGGCGTCGCCAACACCACCGCCGGCGTCGCCGCCGCCGCCACGGGAGGCCAAAGCGGGAGCGCCGACGGGGAAACGCACGGGCCCTGCACCCCCCCACCCCCCCCGCCGCCCCCTGCCAGCTTTGAGGATGTGGGGGGGGCCGAGGGACCCCCCGAGTCCCCCAAAGCCAACGGGCAGGACAGGGTGAGTGTGGGGCGGCCCCATAGGGGAGGCTGGGGGAGCGGGGATGCCCCATAGTGGGAATTTGGGGGTGGGGTGGCCCTTTAAAGGGAGCTAGGGGTGTTGGGCTGCCCTATAGAAGGGTCTGGGGGAGTGGGGATGCCCCATAGTGGGGGCTTGGGGGAGCAGGGATGCCCCATAGTGGGGGTTTGGGGATGTGGGGTAGCCCTATAAAGGGATTTAGGGGTGTGGGGTGGCCCCATAGAGGGGTCTGGGGGAGCAGGGTTGCCCCATAGTGGGGGTTTAGGGGGTGGGATGGCTCTGTAAAGGGATCTAGGGGTGTGGGGCGGCCCCATAGAAGGGTCTGGGGAAGTGAGGATGCC